TTCGAGGGAGGGTAACATCTGGTCATCAGAGGCCAACTCAGTAGACATTGACTCTTTTATCATCTTATCTTTTACTACTCTTTTATTATATTATCTTTTTAGTCAGGGTCTCTCACTGGGACTGGAGCTCACGGATTCAGCTACACTTGGCTGCCCACTGAGCCCCCGGGGATTCCAGTTCTGTATTCATGGGGCAAGGATTACAAACACTGCAGCCAGCTTTTTTTTTCTTTTCCCTTTCTTTTTTTTTTATTTGCCAAAGTCTTTAGGCTTTTTTTTAAAATTTTTATTTATTTATTAAAGATTTCTGACTCTTCCCCGCCACCGCCTCCCATTTCCCTTCCCCTCCCCCAATCAAGTCCCCCTCCCTCATTAGCCCAAAGAGCAATCAGGGTTCCCTGTGGGAAGTCCTTTTTTTTTTTTTTTTTAATTTTTTTTTGCTTAGGTGCTGAGCTCAGGCATGGATTCTAATACTTATGTGGCCAGCGCTCTGGTGAATGAGCCATCTTCCCAGCCTCTCAAACAACATTCTTTTTTATGTGCATACGTGTGTGAGTGTGTGAACACACACATGCAATGCTACGCGTGTGGAGGTCAGAGGAGAACGTGTGGGGTGGGATTAGTTCCTCCCTCCCAGCATGGGGGATCCCAGGGATCTAACTTTAACTCACTGATCAATCTTAAAAACCCTCAAATAGTACTTTTAAACATCATGATATCATTGATTTTTATTACCTGTACTATAGGAGGTTACCTCGCACATTTTTGTCATGATGATAACAGAACACACAGTTTTGTGAAGCAGTTCTATCTAAAAGAGTGGGTGTTCTTTGAAAATGGCAATTATTTAATATTAGAAACGAACAACTATGCTTCCATTATGAGTTAATTTATTTTACACTCAGAAAAAGAAAATGGCATTTAATTTTTTTACATTGAAAACAGATTCTTCTCTCATACAATCCATCCTAACCACAGTTTCCTCCCCCTCCACTTCTCCCAGCCCGTTCCGTCTGCTGCTCGAGGAAGCCTCTGATGACTGGACAAGGCACGGACATATGAGCATAGCAGAATATCATTAGGAATCATTCATTTTCTTTTCCAGTTGTGTTTGGTTCTATTCTAGGTCTCTGGGGTATCCAGCATTTGCTTCCTTGCCATCCAGGCAGTGTAGGGCATGGGCTCCCTCTTTTGTCGTGGACCTCAAGTTAAAGCAGCTGTTATTTGGCCATCCCACAAGTTTTGCACTACTGTTACCCCAGCACATCTTGCAGGCAGGAGCATCTTTGACTCGTCTGCCTGCTGTTAGAACTCCTCTCCTCCTACTGGGTTGCCTTGTCCAGCCTCGAAATGAGGACTTTTGCTTTGTCTTATTTTGTCCTGTTTGGTTGTCTTCTCTTTGTGTCCTGACTTTTTCTGAAGAGGAAAGGAAGGGGGAGTGGATCTGAGGGAGAGGGGAGCTGTGGACGGGGAGCTGGGAGAAGAGGAGGGACACACCCACAGAAGCCAAAGGGGTACATTGGGTGTCCTGTTTTTATGATTTTCTGTCTTAATCGTTTGAAATAGGATTTCTTAACTAAACCTGGGCGTAGGTGGCAGCCAGTGAGTGCCTCCCATTTCTGTGCCCCACTACAGCACAGGGATTGCAGGAACATGCCTCTAGCTTTTTTCATTAGTGTTGAGATTCAAACTCAGATCCGCGGCTGTGCAGCAAGCTCTGCTACCACCTAGGCCGTCTCTCCAGGCTACAGGGACTCTTTTTCTACTATCTTTCTGACACAACTCTCCCTACTTTTTCAAACACTTTAGATGCTTCCGTTGAGCAAATCCATTATCATGTATCCATTAATCAATATTTATTAAGTATGTCACAAAGGTATTATGGGAAATTAAGGGGATAAAAGCACAGTTCTCTTCCATAGGGATCTGCGATCAGATGTACATAAGCAAATTCTAATTTATCAGTACAGTTTAAGAACCTAGACCATCCCATACAGTGGGACGTACATAACTATCATGCTGGCTTTCCTTCCTTTAGAACGGTACTGAGAAGTATGTCCTGGACAGATGGATTTCATAAATTATCTTTTTACACTGAAATTATTTTACTCTAATTAATTTTAATAGAATGAAATTTCATCTTGATTTCTAGAAGAAAGCAGGATGAGATAGGTATGTCTCAGTAAGAAGAGGGACAAGTACAGTTTTGTTGTAAATAATTTAGAACTTGTTCTTTGATTGTGAAGGAAAACAATGGCCACAGGCAGGAATACTTTTTGAGAAACGAGGGTTTAGAAAATGAGTGTGTGTATTAGTAAGCATTAGTGTAAAACTGATTTTTAGAATCCTATTAAAAGTTAATTTGCCACTTTTATCAACATGCAAAGCAAAAATATCTGACCAGGCAAGTAATTGTTTTTCCTCCTCTTCCTTTGTTATTCTAACTGTAAGAGCTCCCTGGAAAACAGAAAGTCTTGAGTTGCAAACCTCATGTGCTTACCATTGACCTTAACAGTCATTATTCAAATAAATATTATTTATTAAAAAGTTCAAAATACACTGTGTAAGTATATAAAACGTTTTAAAAATAAAATATTTAATAAATTATTCGTGGAATTAAAACATTTTAAAATTATAAATAAAAACTAAATGGAAAATATGAGCACTAAGAAAACTGTAGAAGTACATGTTAACAATCAATTCTTTTCTATTTAATGGATAGAAGTATTTCAGAGATTATCTGAGTTGGAAATTAAGGTTTCAAAATATACTTAATACAAACTGCTAATTAGTGGAGATAAACTTGCGTATAACTTTTTAACAAGTACTTTTTGTATATGACAGAGATATATTTTGTGAGCTAAAAGACAGAGCTATGAATAAAAAGCACCGGGGCACTGTTTCACCTTTCCTGGTAGCCACTATGTCCTCTTCAGTGTTGTGGTTTTGAAAGGTTTTTTTTTTTTCTATAGAATGAAGTATAACAAGCTTAGGGACCTGTGGGGCTGTAATTACCTGGTTTGTTGTGAATCACTGTCTATAGCTAGTCTAGTATTTTAATAAGGTCTACAAGGATTAGAAACAGTGAGCACATGAATTATGAAACCCACTGCCAACCAGAAGAAAAGAAGAAAAGTGAGCCAACTCGTCAGAAAATTAGGCTATCTCTACAAAATTACAGAATGTTATTTAGCAATACATCTAGTTTAACCATAAAGACTGGAGAATGCAGGCTTTAACTAAGAAAGACCCGACAGCATATACTTCATCCTGGGGACAGACATGCCAAGGTGTTCATTAGCTATAGTCAGCAAAGTGAAGAGATGTGTTGTTGTGATATTTCAACAAGTGTCACAGGGAGTGAAAAATATGATCTTTGGCCATAGCCATTTCAGAAAGGAAAGTTATTCCTCCCCCATCCCAGAAATTTACTGTGCAGGTATATTAATAGTACGTAATTTTACCAAAATAGTTTACATTCAACACTGTAAATTGTTACTGAGTTCTTGACTGCTTTTTTTCCCCATTAAGTTATAAAGATGTCTTTAAAAACTGAATTCCGTTAGAAGTGGTCTCGTTCTAACTGGTGTAAGACTTTTTATATTTGGAATCATCAAATAAAAGTGGGAACATAAAAAAAAGACTCTGAATTCAGTAAAGATAAAAATATCAAGGAAAGAAAGAATCTTCATGTTTGCTGGAGAGGCAAATCCAAATCTCATATAGTAAAGCAGTTTCGTCTACCCTTCCCTTGGTGTGAGAGCATACTCTTGGAAGCAAGCTACGTTGTCCTTCATCCTGACAAAGGAATCTCTTATTAAAGATACAGGGGAAAGATGTTAATTATGGAGCCAAGATAAGGCAGCACTGAGGCCTAGTTTCATGTTTTCCAACATGTGGTCGAAGGAGCAGAGCCCTGGTTATCTGTTCTCACTGTTAAGTATACGAGGAAAATCACTTGCCATAACGTTAAACTGTCCCTGTCCTACCCAACTTCTTTTTCTGCAGACCTTTAACTTTCCCATCATTTTCCCCATATTATTTTTATTTCTGTGATCAGAGTTCTTGATCAGCTCAAGAATCTCATTGCTTTGGCAGCTATACTTCCTGTCATGCCATTGCCGCATCATTTCCTAGAAGCCAATAGCCTTCAGGCACCATACCCTGGTACAGAGGCAACCACAACCCTGCTGGAGCTTGCAGGACTCCTGGTGGAATGTTCCAGACAGTGCCAGTGGAGTCAGTGTGTCTGCAGTTTTGTATGCCAAGTGAGTTCAGAGTCCAACACCCAGGAGATCTGTCTAAAAGTAAGTCTGATCACATGATGATACTGAGGAAGTCTAAAAACACAGCCAGGATAATTCCCCAAACTATTCTAAAGCCCCCAACTACTACCTGCCTGAATGGAGATATTGTTCAACTGGCTAAGTAAGCAAGGACTTTGGACAGCTGAGTGGGAAAATCCTTTGAGTTGTCACTTAGTTTTAGATCAAAAACCTAAAGAGTATTTTGATAAGAGGTATGGGGGCTTTATATTATTTTTCCACTTAGAATTTAAAATAAATTATAATTTTAAAAATACCTATAAGATTAACAAATTCCAGTCAATGCAAAACTAGTTGCCTATACTCAAATTCAACAGTAAAACTGGGAACTCCAGAGACATAAAAATAGTTATCAAGTTCTTTATATACATGGGATTAATTTAACGTGGGACGTAATGAATAAGTCACGAACAATCCCACACCAGTTTGGAATTATGACCAATAGAGAAGCTATTTATTTAAAGGGGAAAAACTTACAGATCACTGTCCCAGACAACAGCCCTCTGCTCAATCAGGAAGGAAGCCTAGTCGCCGGAAGAGGAGCCAGAAGCCAGAGAGAGAGAGCAGAGGGAAGTGGCCACTTTTTTAAAGGGAGAGAGACCACGCCCCAGTGGCTGGTATCTCAGCGGCTATTGGCTGAAGGAGCTCCTGCAACATTAAAGACTGCAACAAGTATATATTTAGGTTGATTTTATTATCCTTAAAGAACTGTTTGTAACATTTTACAAATCTTCAGACTGTTCAAGAAATACAGCAACATCAATAAATACACCAAAACATGAGATTTTGCTGATAAAAGAATACAAAGAAGAAAAAAATAGAAACACCTGAGAACAAGAGGGCAGGACGTCAACTCTAGATCTGAAGTGGAAAGTGAGTCAGGTCTCTGTGATGTCAGCAAACACCAAAGACAACTCAAGCAATAGAAATTAACATGAAGTTTTGAGCTTCAACTTTCTGGGGGAGTTTAGAAGGACAATATTTGAGCCCCAAATCTCTAAAACCCTATAATATGTATCGATAGCAGAGGATCCAAACAAGTAGAAACTGGCCTGACAGTAATTGCCAAAGTAAAGAAGAACTCTTATTTCTCAGCATTGTGATCTTCGTGGCATACTGTGAACTATAAAAGGGCATGATTTCTATTCAACTGCAGAAAGTCATAAAAATGGATCTTATAAAGTGTCAAGGTCATACGTATTCAAAATCGCATACAGCAGTGCTTTAGTAAATGAATCCATCGGTTAATTGAGAGCTTTGCCTTCAAGATATATCCAAACTATGTACAAAGGGTCCACAAATGTCAGCAATTTGTAATCAAAATTCTCTTGTTTATGTATGCAAAAGTCTGCATTGGCTTTCAATTTAAAAATTTAAGAAAGTAGTGAATAGTGTTGGCTTATCACTTGGGTTAAGAAAGAGTAGATGGCTTTAACTTTTTAACAGGAACTGCTCACAAATGAGAAGTCACATTCTTCTCATTAGAAAAGATAAATTGCCTAAAATTCCCAATCAAAAACAGCACATGCAGTATCTTTTTAAGTTACTTTGTGAAATTAAAGTTCTACAAAAGCCCTTAGGAAACATCATCTCATTTCCCTTAGACAAGAATGAGTGAAGTCACTGGCATACTTGGATGACATACTCATAAGTTTATATATGACTTTCCTCACCCAGTGGAGACACAAAACTTTCTAAAGATGAGGAGATACACTCAAAGTGTTAAGGAGGTACAGTACCTCCTAACCTATAGTTCCTAACCTCATTCCAATACAAATAATTTACCAATATATTGTGGATTCAAAAAACAGCACGCAAAAGAAAACGTTACATGCAGAACTCATTGTTCCGACGCGAAACACTAGGGCTATATAGTTTTTAATAACCGCACATCTCTTTGATTTGGCTAACAAAATGTACACCGAGAAAGATGTCATTAATCCTCCTAACGCGAGTCCAAGTCAAAGGCACTTCCACAGAGCACTAACTCCTTAACCTTCTCCAAGTCATTCCATGCTGTTCATGATCTAGTTCTGTGTGAGAACAGGAAAAAGCCCCTTCTAAATGTGAGCCTTGCCACTCTACCCCCAATAGCAAGCCTCGTGTTAGCCAGACACACGGAAAGGAGCAATATACAAGAAACATAGGGAAAGGTCTTTGCATTGTTTGGGCTAAATTCAGAAAGCCGAGTGAGTTCCACCAGTTAAGATATTTCAGAAGAGGTTACAGGAAAAACCGCCCGAAGTAAGTCTACTGTCTCCGGGGGTTGGGAGCTGTTGACTTTCATTGTATAACTATCTACAGTTTTACAAAGTTGGGGTGTCTATTTCAGTTTCCTTAAACTTGTTTAGGTGGCTTGAATTTCCTCTGCGGCTCATACATTGAATTGGTAGGGGTTGAGAAGAAGAACTGTTTCATTCCACCAAAGGGAAAGAGAGAGCTGCTGCACAATGTGTCCTGGCGACAATTTCTAGGTAGAACAGGATGGGCTGATTGGACCAAAGAACTTCTGCTTGTAGCAGAGTTGAGGACACACAACTGAAAACAGCTCCCAAGTTCCCACTGAGGGAAGGACGGTGATAAACGCCTGTAGCTGACAAGGGAGCCTGTCTGGGCTCCCGCTTGAGACCCAGGATGTTTTTCTCAAACCTCTCCTAAAAGCATCAACACGAACAAATAGAACTCACACCCTGGAGAGGCTTTGAATATCAGGACAATGGCCAGTCCTTCCCTGCCCAGTTACATGGAGCATTCATTTCCTGTGTCTCCACAGTCTGGTCATTTTTCAGCAGTCACAAGAAATGTTTGCATTTTTAATCAAGTGTAATAGTCTCCAAATGACTGACTTTGAATTGGGGTTATGGCCAAAGACTATTAAAAACAGATTTTAGCCTACATGGATTAGTGAGCCTTAAAGCAAGCCATAGCTTTTTTCCTCTCACCTGGCAACTAAGGTCACTTCATTTGAAAATAAAAAGACAATATCGGAGTTTCCGTTTCTCAAATTTCTACACAATAAGTCAAGGCCTTATTTGCTCTATAGACCTGCGTCCCCAAACAACCAGAGCTGGGTCTCCTGTGATGAACTGGGGGCTTCCTGCCCATGTTACAAGAGCACATTACTTTGGTGCTGACAATCCACAAGCCATCGATCTTAAAAAAGAAAAAGAAAAAAAAAAGTGTTGTTTGATCTTTAACATTCGTCCAAACATTTATCAAGTTGCTTCTAAGCATAGGCAGGAAAAGACATCACAGTCTCACTGCAGGAGGAAGAGGCCTGAAGAAGACACCTGCCTTTCTGGTCCATGATGACCAAGGCAGAAATAAGAATGTGGAGAGCAGCTTCTGCACACAGCTCACTTTGTATTCTTAAGAGTCGGTACCAGTGAGCAAACTGCACAACTTCCACATAACATCTTTACATTGTTTCACATTTTTGACGGCTTGGATGTCTTCATCACTCCAAAGAGAATGAAAAGAACAGGCTAGAGAAAGCATTTCTGATTTTTGAACTGTTATTTTACCATCTGCTTTGCTTGAGATGTGTCTAAGGCCCACAAGATGGCTCAGTCTCAGTTTCCTAGGCCCATACTAGAATTTACAAGAAGCAAGAGTGCACACCATGAAACGACAGAGATAGACAGAGCTCACGACTAGTTTATGGGAATCAGTGGACGCTCCTCTCGTTTCTTCCAGATGTTAGTCTTGCTATCTCTTTTGACAAGGGGTGGTAGTCGGCCTCTCTTTTTAGTGGGAGATGTGTTGGCTTCAAAATCCTCCACATTGCTTTTCCTTCCTGGAGACTCTTCCCTAGGGTGCTCTAGAATAACTCCGCTCCCTCCATCCAAGATGTGCCTCAACGCGGGATCCTCGGGGGAGCAGACCGTGGTTCCACTCTCACTGCTGCTCAGGTCTAAGTCTTCCAGGTAAAGCATCTTGGGCTGATGCATGCTTTTGATGAATGTCTTCTCCCTCTCCAGCTTTCTGCTTGAATGATGCTCATTCATATCCACCCCAGAGTCTAGACTTGTATCATTGCTCTGGGTTCTCTTGCCTTTTTTCAGGTCTATGAAGGAGTGTCTCACTTGCGCCACAGGCTTCCCGTCGAGAGACACAAACCACGCCCTGGGATGGGGAGAGGGTTTGCCTTTAGACAGCTCCAGGAGGGTCTGCTCTGAAATCCCTTGAAGTTCCGATGAGAAAGGAGTCATTACAACAGCTTCGTTTAGAGTTCCAGGAACAGACACGGACTCCAGCAAGCTGTTGGAGTATCGGCTCCAATCTGAAGTCTGGGATGGCAAGCTCTGCTGACCTTCAAGTACAATGTCCTCTTCTCCGGCATCTGGGGCCTGGACGTGAGAATGCATTGGCATCTTGGGCAACGTTTGTGTAAAGTTCTCTCTGTTTACTGGTTCTATCAACTGGCCATAGACTAACTGGCCCTTTCGTGGCAAAGTGGCAGACTTAGCAGCATGCAACTGTTCTGGTGTGGAGAAAAGGTCTGACGTCTGAAGGATGGCAATGGGCTGGCTGTAGATGTGCATAAGCTGCTCGGGAATGCGGGACCGCCCATATACCTCCTCACTTCCGGTGAGATACCTCTTTTCCTCGTGAGCGTCCCCTAGCGGTGGAGAGAGGTTGTTGTTGACATGCTTCGGTTGTTTGCTTCCTATACTTGGCTCCGAAGACTGTGTTGGGTTTCTTGAGTAATTACTGTGATTGACTGACAGAAAGGAAACATCTTCATTGTAGATCTTAAAATTGTCCCGAGTTTTCACCATGGGAATTCTTTCTTCTGTTTCCATCTTTGTGGTTTCCTTCTTCTGGGGGCTGTAGGATGAGGTCTGGGCATTGAATAACTGCGCCTTGTCCTCGGCTTTCAATGCAACCTTGACTGAACTGATATGGTTGATGTGTGTTGTTGACGTGGTCTGGTCTCTCTTGAGGGTCTCAAGCTTAGTGATATTTCTCTCTCTCTTCTGCGGTGTTCCACACTTACCCCTAGAGCAGAAAAAGCAAAAAGTAAAAGATACCTAAGTTACAGTCTATATGACTCACCAAAGGAAAATATACCGAAACATACAAATACATATCTAATGATGCTTTCAGAATACATTTGCTTTGATTTCCAATCTATATATATTAAAGGCTAAACGGGTCTTTGCAATTTTAAAATTATCTATATGTTGGCATGCGCATGTCTGAGCCCCTAGAGCTATAACACAGAACTCAGGTTCTTTGGAAGAGCGAGGTTTTGTTTGCTTGTTTGCTTGATTGTTTTGTTTTATTTCTTGAAAATAGATTCTTCTTGCATAGAGTACACCCCAACAATAGTTTCTCTTCTGTCGACTTCTCCCAGCTTCTCCCACCTCCCCTCCCCCAAATCTATTCTCTCTCTCTCTGTTTCCCTTCATAAAACAGCAGGCCTCCAAGAGACAACAACCAAACACAACTAAACAAGAAAGAGTAAGACAAGGCAAAAGCCCTCATAGAGAGGCTGGGCAAGACAACCCAATTGGAGGAAAAGAATCCCAAGAGCAGGCAAAAGAAACAGAGACATACCTGTTCCCACTGTGAGGAGTTCCACAAAGACACCAAGCTAACAGCCACAACACATACACAGAGGACCTGGTATGGACCCTTACAGGCCTGTGCTTGCTGCTTCAGTCAGAGCAAGTCTTTTTAATCGTTAAGCCTAATAACAATTTCTACAAATGAACTTTATAATGCACACAATATACTGAAATTATACTATAATACAGCCACTCTATCTATACACATAGTTTTGTGCTGCTCTTACCTGCAATAACAGAGTAGGACAGCAAAAAAGCCAATGATGATAACGATTGTCCCCCCTAATATGGCTGTGAGGAACACTGTGTGGTAGGCAGTTATGTCTTTGTAGTCTTCATTTATCCCTGAGCCTGCATGATTCAATATAAAGACAAAAACATGTTATTGTGGGTTAGACTTTTAGTTTTGTTTTATCCTGGATGAGGTAGGCTGAGGATGAGGCCTTCTATTGGTTTGCTTTCATACTATGGTAGACTTCTACGGATGGGGTACACCTTCCATGCCCTGTGGGATTCATCAGTTGACTTGCTTTGACCAATGAATTTTGAACACTTGAAATGAGGTTGCATAACTATGGGAACAGTTTTTTTTTTTTTTTTTCAAAAGACCACTTGGCTTTAGAAACTGAACCCTTTGCTTAATAAAGCATCCTAGTCAATAACATGCATTTAGATCCTTTGAAATTATGTACTCAAGGGTAACTGTGTATTCGGCCTATTAGGTTTAACCTGCCTTTAAGGAAACAATGTAACCAACCTCACTATGCCTTGGCATTCTCACGTGATTCACTTGTACAAAATAAACTGAGTGCATAGCTTTGATCTCAGATCATTTCCCCTGTTTCTCCTTTGTGACTTTTCCATGTCTCCCACCTAGAATAACCTATATGCATTGTGACCCCCTTTTTCAGAAAGTTGGTCAGTATGTTGAAAGCAACCCTAAAGAAAACAAACATTCACCATGACTGTTGGAAGCAACAGGTGGATTTGGTTGGTAGCACCTGTCTGCAGTTTTGAGTGCTACTTGGGGGTCAGTAAATTTTTTTCCCTTGTAAATACTGGTTAAAAAGTGCGGGGGGATATGAGAGTCCTCATCCACTTCTGTGTTATTCAATAAATATAGAACAAAGCTCTTTATTAGAAGCAGACAGAAGATTCAGGGAGAGGTGCAGAACCCAGACTTGGGATCACTCTCAGTTTAAACTGCTCAAAGAGGAAGGGCCTTTCTTTAATGTGGCACCAATACCTGTGATGTGGCTTAGCCATCTGCCTGAGGCATATCCCAGAATGTCCCTATGCCTTCAACCTGAATTTTGAAGGAAAACGTGATGAGTTGAACCACGCCAAGTCCAAGAGCAGGGCAGCCAACCCCAAACACTCACAAACATAAAAGGCAAAGAAATCACACAGCGACTGAAATGGCCGATTACTGCACAACAGCTTGGTCTCATAGAACCAGTAATGCCTGCCAAGACACTGAGAAAACAAACCCTAAAATATGTAGCCCTAGCTTCCAAGCCTTAACGTGAACTTTGAAGAAAATTGTAATAATGGGAACTCCAATCATGTGGTAGCAAAACACAGAACTGTGGGGTTCTTAATTAGTTTGAATTAGAGTGACTGCCAGGTTGACAGGACCCATCCAGCCTCCAGCGTGTGAAAGACGCTTCTGTATTCAGGAAGGTTTTGTGGGCTGTTTTGGTTTTTGTTTTGTTGGGGCTTTTTGTTGTTGTTGGTTGGTTGGTATCTGTTTTTGTTTTTGTTTTTGTTTTTTTTTCAGCTTTATCCAGACAAAGTTTCACTATGTAGCCCTGGTTGTCCTGGAACTTGCTCTGTAAACCACACTGGCCTCAAACTCACAGGGATCTGCCTACCTCTGCCTCCTGAGTGCTGGGATTTAAAGTGTGCATCACTACACCCAATTCTACTCAGGAAGGCTTAATAGATTGAATATATAACTTTTAAAAAGTTTTCTATAAATCTACTGAATGTGATAAATACAGGGTTTCCTTAGATTCAAATTCCCTACATAATTTGATACCATGTTAAATACTGTGTGTGAGAACAGCGTGGATCATCCCTAGTGAAGAATTCTTGATGTGTGGCCACCAGCTTCCAGTCACCATCTGTTCAAACTGTCAAGTCAGTAACCATTTTGTACATCATCTATCTATTCTCCCGAAGCAATGTGGAGAAACCGCTATCCAACAGCCTTTCCTCTCATGTCCCCCAGAGTCTTCCTCCCCAGGAAGATCAGGCACGGTGTGAGGAAAGACTGGAAAGGACTAGAGTCGGTGGCAGCTACCGCTTGAAGAGCTAAGCAGGCTCTGGTCAGCCCTCTGGAGCTGCAAAGATGTCCGCCTTCCCTGGGATCCTGTAAACCACACACAAGCAGGCTATGGTCAGCCCTCTGGAACAGCAGAGACGTCTGCCTTCCCCAGGATCCTGTAAACTATATACAGGCAGGCTCTGGTCAGCCCTCTGGAGCTGCAGAGACATCCGCCTTCCCCAGGATCCTGTAAACTATGCACATATTCTTCACCTTTCAACAAATTACTCAAGATGTCCCTATTTCTTGTAGCCAGAGGCTCTAACTGTGCTGGGTAGAATTTATTCATGAAGACATAAACTTGGATAATACTGGAACAAACTTTAGTCTTCAGAGATTTGTTAGACGTGGCAATAAGAGACTTAGAGTACATGGAGCTGGCTTAATCCTTTGGTTGTGCTCAAGAAAAGGGGAGGAAGGTTGTTCCATTTCCTTCACCTGCTTCCTGGCAATGCTTAGCCCAAGCTGGAACCCAGCTGACATTAACTCCGGCATGCTATGTGTGTTATCCTTTAAGATTACTTTGTTTGGTTTTTGCAGTACCTCTAGCTCCTGGGAATGGGGCTGCTATCCAGTAGCCCAAATGTGGGGCATCGTAGGTCCAAATCAGGTGGCTGTTATGCTCCTTGACTATTCCCCAGCCATGATGCACCCAAGCACCTAAAACATGTGGTAAGTGAAAAAACAACAGTCATGGATAGTTCTCAACCTTAAGCTAAGGTATAAAAACAGAGTTTGCTGGTTGTCATGAAAGAATTCAGAACATTTCAGAAATTATAAACACCATGATGCTAAATATCTAGGATGATCAATATTAAATATTATATCATACTTAATATAATACACACATAATAACATAAGGCAAATATGATTTGACATGACTAAATGAGAAATCCATTATAACAACGCTCAACTTATGTACCCTGAGGCTGTGAGGAGCAGAACTCTAATTTACAGGCTAAGATGTGAAGTGCGTGAATCCCAGAGTTCAGTCTCCAGCACCGGACACTTGTTATGTGAGACTGTAACGAGACAGGAACAAATCCCAATTTGTCAACAGGCAGTTCTTCGTCACTTGTCCTGAGACTGTGGTTAAACACACACCACACCACACAGGTTTGGGGGCCTTATCACTTTAAGAGCCATCGTTCTAACGCTACTGAGAGTTTTCCCAGAACTGTTTCTTCTATCTCCCAAGCTGCATCCGTGAATGAGTCAGATTTCCCATGCAGTTTTCATCTGAGGTGTCAGAAATTAAAGCCGTTCACTGCAGGCATGGTGCCGTAACTGGGAAGCAAGCCCAGATCTGGTCTTCTTTACGGTGGAGAACGGAATCAGGAGATCCAGGAGGAAATGGTTAAATGGTCAAAGTAGAATCCAGACCACTGCAGCACCTGTAACTAAGTGAGCCTGGGGTTGAGCCCCCTTAAGTCCCATTTGGAGACCAGTGTCTTCCCACAAAATGCACCTCATCCAGCCAACACAAGGAATACACAGCCTCACACTCAGTTTTGAAAAGCTCAAACTGTCTCCTAACTCCAATGAATTTTTGTCATCTATAACAAATGAATTCAGTAAAATCTAAACCTTTGATGAAATGTTATGCACAAGTAGCTAACATGGCTACTTAAGAGTTTGGTATATATTGGGATTTTGGCTTATAATCTACAAAATGTAAAATGGGCTATATTATTTTTACCCCTAATTCACACATAATATATTTATGACATAGAATAGAAATTCACAGATCTTCACATAAAACAGCATGTCCATCGCCTTTTACACACACCAATTACATTTATATGATGCAAGCCGCTGAATTCGTCTAGCTGTTTTGGAACGTATCAGAACTTATTTCAGATAAGATACTCCAATATATGTTATGGGACACTAAACTAATCCCTTTTGACCATTTTCGGACCCTTCAGCCCCATGTTTGCTAGAGCAATGTTTACAATAGCCAAGATATGGAATCAAGGAAGATGCCTGCCAGCAGATAAATGGGTAAATAGAATGTATCTGTGCAATATTAGTTTGGTCAGTCATACAAAAGAAAATAAATCCAACAATTTTCAGCAATATTGATGAAAAAAGTTGATAATAAAGTAGAGAAACTTGATATGAGAGAACGGCCCAATCTATCACTTTTAGTTAAGTTAAATTTAACCAAGCATATATGATAAATCAATTAAAGTTTTAAAACACTAATATTATTTGTGTGTGAATGTGTGGGGACTGTGGCATGTGGGTACATGTGCCATGATGCCCACATGGAGGTCAAAGAACAATTTTGTAGAATAGATTCTTTACTTTCATTCCTGAATGTGTTCTGGGAGGCAAACTCAGGTTGGTAGGCTTATGTAAACCCCTTTACCCAATTAGAAATCTCTGCAACCCTCAGTTTAAAAGCTTTCGCTTAAAGGAATATTCCAAAAAAGTCCTTTGCCAAGAATAATGATCAAAAACTCAAATAGCACATTCTTTAGAGTAATAAGAAGTCACTTATTACTTTAAATCACACAAATGAATTGTCCCACATGGCGTTGCTGATTGGGGAACTAGATTCCAAATCTCATTGGAAAAAAACCCCAAACACTAAGCCGTGGATCACCGCTATTGACTGCAGTGCTTCCACTAATCAGAAGAACACAATATATGCAGTTTATCTCCCACCGCGGGCATTTGTGTGGGGTTGGCTCTGCAATCCCCCTTCCTTCTCAGCAGCATCCCAGCCCATCACACATCTCCCCTGGGCTTCTTTCCATCCTCGGTTCTCAGATGAGATGATGAGTTTGGGATTCCATGCTGCACCAGCGTGTCAGCTCATCCTATGCATGCATGCATTCTTCCGGCACCGACTCTATTCTACAACACGGTGCATAGCAGGGATTGTGCTGCAGCTAACACACCAAGCATAGCTGTCTTCCCACTGATCTGCAACCTGGCGAAGTGTGCAGTTAGAAGCTCCACCACCAGCAACCTCCTGCTGGGAAGGTGCGAACACAGGAAATGGGTGCGAAGGGAGACAGAGCAGGTCCTGCAAGGACTTGAGACTGGACTCCTCACCCTCTTCATTCACTTTTAGAAACCTAGACTACTACTTCATGTACATGGGAACACAGACAAAATTAAGAATCTGCAGAGGAGAAAGTGCTTCCCAGGTGCCTTCAAGGAAGCAAAATGCAATTAGTAAAATTGATACCTAACGAGGGATCGCCACTCCCTCAATCTCGTGTGCAATTCATTGTCAAGATAGTAGCATACATTTTAGACGGTCTTCACCAAGATTTTAGATAATCTCATACTGCCGATTAAAATTTCCTGAGGAAATATTTTCTAACCTTAAAATATTTCTTCCTCAGAATGTTAGAGGACAACAAGACAATGGCGGGTGAATAGTGTTCAAATGTTTGTCTGTTTGTTTGCTTTTACATAATGTGTATGATGCTTAGCCTCGATTGTCAGCTTGATGAGCTCTGCAGTCACCTGGGGAAATGGGCCTCCTCTGGCCGCCTGTGGAGAATCATCTGGAGAGGGTCAGCTGAAGAAGGAAGACACACCCACTGTGAGTGACACCGGTCACCTGGCTATGATCCAGACAAAGTCTGCTTCTTGACTGTGGATGCTGCATTACTGGTGACCAGCTGTCTTCCCACCGCCCCGCCTGCAGCTTCCCCACCGCGATGGACTATAACCATCATGGTTAGAAGTTAAACCGCTCTTAAGTTGCTTTTGTCTGGGTCCAAGACAAGGAATTAGGCTCTCTTCCCCTCACAAACACCCGTACCAGTGAGGCCCACGTGATCCTTAACAAAGTGTACAAAATGGTAATATTAGGGACAGACCAGCTGTGTATACAACTCTATGAAGAAATACCCAAATATCCAAAAGAAAAATGGTCTGTTTTCCCTTAGCTACCATACCTGTGTTCATATCAAATGTCCACGCGGGTATGCGATCTCCCATGCTTACAGTGTTTGTATGTACAAGAGGAAGAGACACATGAATAGCACCATCCACCTTCAACTCTTTCCCTCCAGAATATATCTTCACACATATCGCAGCAAGAGGAGTCAGCTCAATGTTTTCCAGACCTAAAAGAGAGTATAATTTATTAAGATTATATTCAAACAGAGGTTGCATATACATAATAGATTGTTATGACTCTAACTAAAATTCATTTTACTCTATTATTTCATCATTTGCTACTCATTTGAATATATAATCTATTGGCTGTACATTAAAGATTTTTTAAAATGTAATTTTTTTAAACATAATTTCAAAATATTTAATAGTACGGACTAATAATGTAACATTGACAAATTAGTGTAAGTTTCTGTTAATCTAATTCTCTCAGCATCGTCTGATTTAAGGACACCGGGATCCAACCAAATATTTCTGAAGACGTAATCCCAGGCCAGTGAGATGGCTCAGTGGGTAAAGGTACTTGCTGTACAAACCTGATAATCGGAGTTTGAGTTCTGCAACTCAGGGGAAGTTGGAAGGAGAGCACTGGCTCCCAAATGGTGTCTTCTGGCCTCCACAGGCACGCTTCCTTCAGCAAACACTCCATGCCCTAAGCGCTAGCCTTAACTTTCATCTTTACAAAACAAAACACCTGTATACTCCAGGGCTCTAGAACTGTGTAACCCAACAGAGGGGCTGCCAGAGGCATGGTACTTTTATATAAAACCTAGGCTTTTGGTGCACTGATGACATGTCTGAGTCAGTAAACACATAGCGGCACCAGGCTGGACAGAGCAGAGAAGTCCCCTTACCAGACTCAACAGTTTGAAAGCAAGATTTTGAGAGGATGCTGCCCAAGTCTCGGTATAATTATTCTTTTTTGTTTTGTTTCTTTTTAGATACAGAGTTTCTCTGTGTAACAGCCCTGACTGCCCCAGAACTCTCTTTGTAGACCAGACTGGATTCAGACTCACAGAGATACACCTGCCTCCACCTCCCATGGGCTGGGATTAAACATGTGGGGTTAAACATGTGCCTCCCACGGGCTGGGATTAAACATGTGCCTCCCACGGGCTGGGATTAAACATGTGGGGTTAAACATGTGCCTCCCACGGGCTGGGATTAAACATGTGGGCCACCACACCCCACTTAATGATTCCATTTTGGATAAAAAGAAATTGCTTATAGAAAATTTAATAATACATATTTTGAAAGCAACACATATCCTGAAAAGCTTTGATGAAAATCAAATGGGTAATATTGTGTACATAACTGGTATCTGATGGAAAATTTTTGTGCTGATGTGTTTTAGAAATATGATCACATATTTAAAAACTAGAAAATACCTGGTTTGTTAATAGTGATTCCCGTCATGTAAAGAAAATTGTCCACCATTAAGAACTGTTGCAGAGCTGTCAGATAGCCAGTCACGTTGCTGATGTGATGGTTGTCAGGAAGTTTGATGAAGGCTTTTGAGAACTGAACACTTGGTTGAGATTTGGCATCTGGACAAAGGAAATCCCATTAGCAAATGGACAGAAACACATGCATGTTAAAAACAGCGTCACCGGTCAGATACTTTCTCCTACAGGGTGTGGTTGTAATGATTTCTGAGCGTCACCAACATTCACACCATTCCTTTAAATTCAGAACTAAGAAAGCTCCTTTTATATATTTATGTAATGAGCGCTTTTAGTCCACAAGAGTATCAATCTGTGACCCACAAATGAGCCACAGAGGCCTACATGGGTACACATGAGAAACCTGAGTGTAAAGCAGAAGTTGGGGGAAAGATGTCAGTGTGGTATAAGTAACATACAAAAGGCAACATACAGCATTCACGCTACATATGTTTCTTTTAGATCACAAAGCACCTCCAGACTAGACCTGATTGACTCTGCCCAGAATTTCTTCTGGGCTCTTTCGGGTCTCACTGTAGGAAACCGTACGCTGACCCTCCTCAGCCTGCATGGTTCTACAACAGGAAAGGGCTGACTGTGTGTCAGAACACGCCAAGAACAAGCAAGCCCCTTGCCCCAAGCACAACTAACGAAGTGTGTGCTTGCCTGAATGCGGAATGGAAGACTTGTTTTGTCTCGCCCAGGATCCCATCTTGTAACCCAAGATGAGAGCTTGTTTGAAAGTGGAGGCAGGGTTCACAGGGTAGAACTGAGAAACAGCGAGAAGGAAAACTATTTGTCAATTTTTCCAACTTGAGTCCTTCAGATTAAGTCTCGGCTGAGTGACCCTGCTTTGTAAAAGATAAATAAATGGTCCCTGTGGGGTCATGCTAGTTTAAGAGAGGTTTTCGGCAACTTTCAATAATAACCGCCCTTGGGACTTTCAGCCACACACTGAAACGGGTTGGTTTCTCCATCAGATTGGCACACAGTCATCTTAAAGTCTTCCAAATGCCAGATTCCAGGCGTGTACATATTACCTCATTTCAGTGGTGCTGAATTGACTCTCTTCCGATGTTTATCAATTGAGACCTCGGTGACATATTGATATATCTCTAACCAACACATTTTAACAAGCCACAGGTCAATTTCAAAATTATAAGTGTAAGTTATCAGATACATTATCTGTGGCCTTGGACTTTAATAAGATCGCCAATAAAGGCAGAAGACATTATTTAAGTCATGAGTATGAAAAAATGTATCAAATTTCAAATATTTGTGTAATAATAAAAGTAGTGTCAAATAACTCTTAAAATCAGTTTCAAGGATTTTTTCATAAAGGAGAAAAATAACATGAGTAAAACAGCGCAGTTATATCTTCACTAGTATTTGGTTAGATATTTGAGGAAACACTCTGATATTTTCAGATCACAAAATATTATCTAAGGCATTCTCTTTTAAAATATGTGACCTTTAAAACAAAAAAAAATATGTGACCTTTATATATGAAGATCTCTGTAGGAGGAGGCTGCTAGTTGGTTCCCAACTGCTTAGCCCCAAAACAATCACACAGAAACTGTATTACTTAAATTACTGCTTGGCCCATTAGTTCTAGCATTTTTTGTTTGTTTGTTTTTTGGTTTTGGTTTTGGTTTTGGTTTTTGGTTTCTCTGTGGCTTTGGAGCCTGTCCTAGAACTAGCTCTTGTAAAACAGGCAGGCCTCGAACTCAGAGATCCGCCTGCCTCTGCCTCCCGAGTGCTGGGATTAAAGGCATGTGCCACCACCACCCGTCTAGCTCTTACATATTAATTTAACCCATCTTCATTAATCTGTGTTTTGTCATGTGGCTGTGGCTTACTGGCTAAAGTTCCCCAGCGTCTGTCTCCAGTGGGGCTCCGTGGCTTCTCTCTGACTCCGCCTTTCTCCCTCCCAGCATTCAGTTTAGTTTTCCCTGCCTAGCTCTGCTCCCCTATAGCTCTTCTGTAGGCTCAAAGCAGTTCCTTTACTAACCAATGATATTCACAGAATACAGAGGGAAATCCCACGTCAGATATCATGATGAAATACACTACTTTTGTATGTTAGCCTAAAAAATGAAATTTTAAAAACATGTGGCTTAATAGTGCTGAATATACAAATTTCTTGTAACTAAAAATATGCATCCTGCGTAAATTACCTGCATTTCCTAAGAAAGGCTTTCATTTTTTTTTCTATTCGCCTGTCCACAAAAACATTCACATATACTGAACACACTTCCATTATATAAACCAAGTGTGTTCACGACGAAGTATCTTATGAGCATTAAGAAAAGAGGTAGGTACTTTATGGAGAGATGTGACAACATCAGATACATCTATATCTAGTTTCATTCAAGCCCCCGCAGCATGAAACCAGGACTCTCCACTGCCATGCAGTTCCTTTTCACGTTCTAATCTCCAAACAAAACTCCACATCATATTCCACCACATGCTAGCAGTAAGTACCAAGTGCTCAAAAGTCTAGGGAAAGAGGGTCCAAAGCCTTACTTCATAAGTCACTCCAAGATTAATCAAGCCCAAGTTCAGGTTCTCACTTCAGTCCTATTAAGTGCTTTTATTTAATACCTTGGTACTGCATAGATTCTCTCCTAAATGTGAATTTTCACAAGCAATTCTTTAGGTCACGCCTCTCTTGATTGATTCAAGAAGATTTTCTGCCTTTTCAGTCATTTCTATTGTGTTAGTGCTGAACATTAATCGGCCAATACAAATCCAACAAATAGTTGTAATTTATAAAGGCATTAGATATCAAAAGAGAAGCAGAATGTCTAGTTTTCCCCTAAGCAACAACCAAAGGGCACATGGATATAAATAAAGGGTCAAACTGTCATATTTGTAGTTGGGAAAGGAGGGAGGACTACTCCCTGAACCAGCGCCCCCAAACAAGGCTTTTTGAACTCTTTTTAGGGGACATGCAAGTACCAAGTACCCCAGAGAAGGCTGCTTAGGAGATCGGAGCTCCCCAGTCACTGGTCTCTCCCTCACTAGCAGCCAGATTCACACTGGAGGCACAGGAGGAAAGGAAGTTAGGGAGCATAGAGGTCTGGGAAACATGGCTGTCCTTGTCACTGTTTCCGCTCCCATAAAAGACAGACACAAGACAGTGAACGCAGACAGCGTTTTCTAGTAATTCCTCACAGCATATAGTCCCGTGTGCAGTGGGTACTGGAGATAACTATTTTCAATGCCCACAAATATAATTTTATAATAAGATATGAACTGGTTCTGATCAATGTACCATCAGGACCCAACTTGGACTTTTGCCAAGTTATAATCAACCATGATTCTCTTATAAAATAATCACTCTAAGAACTTCCTTAGCAAAAGAGTGGTGTACTTACCAGCGAATTTTCCAGTAATCAAAACAGTGTCTTCAAAGAGCCATATGTTTGCTTGGCTTTGTGGGAACAGTGAAAGCGTAACTGAAGAATAGACTGTAAAACAGGACAATACGATCACAATGTTTAGCGCGTAGGGGTAACCGAGGCATCATTCTGGTGTGGCGTGCCTCAAGGGGTTTTTCATCCTACTAGTAAGACACTTGCTTAGCCAAGCTCACTGAGGCTCTATTCATAATAGCCAGAAACTGGAAACAGCTTTGATGTCCACCAGCTGGTGAATGGATAATGAAAAAAGGGTACATACACACACACACACACACACACACACACACACACACACACACATATGAAAATGAAACTTGTAGGTAAGTTGACGGAGGGAGCTAGAAAACAATCATCCCAAGTGAGGTAACCAGCAACCAAAAAGACAAATATTGTATGTTTTCCCATACATACAGATGTTAGTTTTAAAGCTTTAGATATGTGTGTGTGTTTCAATTAAAATAATCACAGAGGCTAAGGTACTTAGCAAGGGTCTAGGGCAGAGGACAGGACCTTCAAAGGAAAGGGAAATAGGATGAAGTTATAAAGAAACAAAGGGGAAACTCAAATAGGAAGATTAAATGGGAGGGGAGGGAGAGCAGAAGAAAGGGGCGAATATGGGGAGGGGCAGTAACACTAAAGGCCTTCCAAAGCTGTATGGAAACCTACTAGTGTAGAAGCTGCCTAAAATATATACAAATGTGAAAGAAGTTTAAATTGCATCATCATATAATGGGAAAGACAAAATTCCACCAGAGATCTTCTACCACTAAGGAAATCCTTCAGTGCCAGGAATGGTTCCATCTTATTGAGTTCTTGGACAAAGAGGTCCTATAGCTCATCATCCCCAAACATCAGAGACAGTTGCCAAGGCTGCTGGTTACTCTCATATCTTAATGGTAAAGGGTCTGTTGCTGAAGACATCACATACATCACATACTTCTATCAGTGTAGAAACTGAGGGATGACCAACTAGAAGCCTCACCCCTACTGACTATCATCCATGGTGCTGGAAAGTGCTCCACACACGACCAGAGAGGAGGGGTAGTCATCAGTATCACCCAGCTACAAATCCTGAAACCTACAACAGAGACTCCTCTGGAAGATAGACGGGTATAATAGTGGCACAAATATTATGGGACCAGTCAACCACTTTATTGAACTTTAAGACTCATTCTGTGAGATGGAACCCATACCTGACATTGCTGAAGTGGCCAAGAGCACGAGACTAAATGGGTCATGGGCCCTAAAGGCAAGTTACTATGATTATTCTGCTAACGGAGCAAAGCAATAGACTGACGGCTAATGATATATTGCTACACAGCTAGAACAGTGCCTAACTCAGCCCTCATCAGAGAATTTCCTTTGCAGGAAAGGAGAATCACCACAGGCGTCCACAACTGGGCAATGCACCAGCCACAGTGGAAGATAAAGTGTCTTCATGATTGCAATGATCCCAAGATTTTTGTCAACCTAAATTTCACTGCCAAAGAAAGCTGTGGTGTTAAGGAGGTGGGGATGGCTTCATCAATGGAATGAGATTGCCTTAAAAAATAGCACCAAAGACTCTTTCTTCCATGTGAGGACAAAGTGAGAAGGTGATGGCTATAAAAGGCAACGTAGCTGTATAAATCAGAGAGCAGGTGCACCAGACATGAAACCCACTGCCCTTTCAACCTCAGTCTTCCTCACCCCCAGAACTGTGTTAAATCTCTCTCTCTGTTCTTTACAGTTGCCTAATTCGTGTTTTGTTTTGGCATCCCAAACAGACAAAGAGTGTTTTCTACAAGTTTTTCTTTCCTTCTAAACATATGGGGTTCTTGTAGGTATTCTCACTTTCAGCGCAACAGATTTTTATGTTTGTGAATGCAAAATACCACGGAAGTACTAACTTGGCATCCTTCCGGTTTTCCAAGGCATAGGCGTCAAGACATAGCCATCTTTGTAAGCAACGATGGTTAAGCTGAGTCCTAATTGGTACGGTACTTTGATCAATACTGCTCCATTGCTTCTAGTCACGGTAGAATTCGTCTTCGTGTAGTTGACAAACACCTCCACAACGGCTTGACTCAGGCGCTGGCGACTGATGATGTCATTCACCTGAACTTTTAGCATAAATACAGACACTGGAAGGGGGGAAAAAGACACAGAAACCGAATCAGGTCGAACCCTAGAATGTATGGCATCACATATTAAAGTGTGATTCAGTACTTCTGAATAACAAGACAAAGCTTTTTTTTTTAATTTAGGAGGTACATATTAATGACTGTACAAAAAGATAAAACCATTCCAGCCAATTAATTTATTATTCTTCGTAAAACAAAATAAATTATATTTATTATTAATAAGCATGGTGTTATTATTGTAATTTTGTCATTTAAAAGGAGAGCGGCGAACTGCTCTTCAGGAAAATACATCTTTACTTTGTCTGCTTCCAACTACCAGAATCTTAACACTAACTGAATACACCCATTCATGGCAAGCTCCTTCATCTTCTGTTAGCTGGGAGGCAGGAAATGTGTTACCGTTTCAACTACATGAAATATCACACAGAAACTTTTTTCCAAAATCTAAAAAAAGAAAACCCCAAAAACATTCTTCTTTACTCACATAAGATATCACACCACTCTAAAGTGAGGACCGTGAGGGTTAAATCCAGCTTTGCTGAACCCTCTGGTCTTATTTCTCAAGGGCAGATCTTGACTGTGTGTTCGCTGGGGTTTATCCCTCGTGGTTTCTGGCAAAGACAAAGAATGTGCACCATGGCCATGCCTTCGGGAGGAAGCACCACATCAGGCTGTGAGCAGACTCTGGAGTGAGCCAAGATCCACTGTGCTATCTTTAGGTATGTGTGTGACCACAGGTCTGTCACCCTGAAGGCCACATGCTTGTCTGGAACACTGGGAGAATGATAATTACTTAAGGTAAAAAAATGAAGCTAATGCAAATATGTTTGGCTGTTGACATGACTATTACTGATGAGCTTTTCATTAAAAAAAAATCCTATTGGGTGGGTAAGATCCTTAAAGAAATTCACAAAATAATTGAAAATCCCATCTGTGCTGAGCTTATGAAAGAACAGAGAGCAAAATAAAAACACTGGCTCTAGCTGACCCAAAGCTGGGCTCGACCGATAAAATGATGTAAAACAACCCCTCCCCCAGAATGTTCTACATATGTGATCAGAAAACGTTCTTGGGGGGGAGAAACGATTATCAGCACTACAGTGTTGCTCCCTGGCAACATCCCCGTAGCTGCACTTTCAATCACCCAGGAAGCTGAGGACACGAGGAGGCTTGGCTAGCAAGTTCCTCTCCAGTCCAGCTTGGAGAAACACTAACCATCTTTGGTCTTGGGGTTGTTTCCTCCCCACACCCACCTAGTGAAGCTGGCATCCTCAAACATGGGCATTTTCTGAGACACACACACACACACACACACACACACACACACTGGGTTCATTGCTGGAACTACATGTTATCCTCTTCAGCAAATCTAATAGGTACCTCCTAACGTTAAGGCAAGGAATGAAGCCAGGAAGTGCCTCTGATACCACCTCCCACACTCTTTGTCCCACATTATCCCTTAGTGGTGGCCTTCATCACATGTACTGGTCTACACCCCCAAATCCTTAAAAGCAAACACTCATTGTGATCTCTGGGCCTCTTTCCTCAATCCTTGAACATGGTTTATCTCTCAACCCAGTATAAGCTACAGCAAAAGCATTTTCAAAGGAGAAAGGAGCAGAACATTGAAAGTCTCATCAAAACGATTTGAAAGGCACAAGTTGTGAAGAGTTACCTGCTTGTGAATTAGATAGAATGTTGGCTTCCACAGGGCAGCTGTTGAAGCAGGCAGCACTGGCAGCCAGAAGCACTACATATCCACAGCACCCCCTTCCCCACTCCCTCTCCCAACAAAAATACCCAGCCATGACATGAAGCAGATCCCATGATTAAATGTATATGATTTTCAGCCAGCAGAGCAGTTGTCTCCATGATCTGCCTACTTTTCCCCATTGTTTATTCAGCCTTTGGTGAGCATATTATTTTCTCCGTCTCTTAATTATAATCATTATTTCATGCCCACATAATCTTCCTTTCAATATGTCACCATTGGTTTTAAAAATGGTCCAATAACAGATGATTTCAACTGCACTAGGAAACATATAATTTAAATGTTGAAAAAAAAACTAAAATAAAACACATATTGATGAGCCCGATCCTACAAGTACTGATTACCACTTATCATGTGTATTAAGTGGTGTGAATCACCAAAACTCAGTGAATATTAAATCAGTATAAAGAAATGTCCTTTTAAAAGAACAGTTTCCTATTCTACAGGGTGGGTAAGTCAAATTCTGGAAAGGATTTGGGGAGGGGAGATGTGAAGTTTTATTAAAAGGGAGTGTAGAGGGGAAGAAGGGAGAGACAGACAGACAGACTGACAGACAGAGAAGAAAGAGAGAAGAAAAGAAGCCAAGACTGCTTGCCTCAATGGGAAGCAAGAGAGCCTGGAAAGGATTTTTAAAAATATGTATAGCTAGCCCAAGCCAACCACCTGCACAGGAGCAGGTTCAAGTCTAGAACCTCTAGAGTGACTTGTTGGGAGAAACTGCTTGTTCATTCCTGGCTGCCCAGAACCAAAATAACCATACAGAAACTATATTAATTAAATCACCGCTTAGCCTATTAGCTCTAGCTTCTTATTGGCCAGCTCTTACATGTTAAATTAACCCATTTCTATTATTTTATATTTTACCACGAGGCTCCTCAGCAAGGTTCCAGCTGGCGGCTACATGGCTTCTCCCTGACTCCGTCTACTCTCTCTATATATATCTCTTCCAGCCTAGTTATATTTCACCATTGGCTGAAAGCATCTTCCTTATTAACCAATAAAATCAACAAAAGCAATGCATATACAGAAGGACTTCCCAGTGACTGGAACCGTGGCCCTGCTTCCACTACAAGGAGCAACCATCTGAGCCTCGGATCCACCAGCATCTGGAAGAGTGATCACCAGAGACACAGCCCCAACTACACCAATCAGAGGAAAAGATCAGTAGACAAGGTAAGAACACACTCAACATGACATCAACAAAAACTAAACAGCAAGACTTGAGAACCCCAATACAGATGAAGTAGAAAAAAAATAACCTAAAAAATAACTTTAGGGAATGTTTGAGGCCCTTAAGAAGGAAATAAGAAATTCTCTCAAAGAAATGGAGGAAAAGACAAACAAAAAATTGGAAGATATCAAAAAATCCCTTTTAAAAAACAAGAAAAAGCAATCAAACATATGAAAGAAATGAGTTAAGATTTGAAAACTGAGGGGCTGGAGAGATGGCTCAGAGGTTAAGAGCATTGCCTGTTCTTCCAAAGGTCCTGAGTTCAATTCCCAGCAACCACATGGTGGCTCACAACCATCTATAATGGGGTCTGGTGCCCTCTTCTGGCCTGCAGGCATATACACAGACAGAATATTGTACACATAATAAACAAATAAATAAATAAATAAATAAATAAATATTTAAAACAAAGATTTGAAAACTGAAATAGAGACTAGAGACAATAAAGAAAACACAAACTGAGGGAATTCTGGAAACAGAAAACACAGGAAAATGATCAGGAACCAAAATGCAAGCATAAACAGCAGAATATAACTCAAAACACCAAACATACAGAATAAAGAAAACTAAGAACTGCAAGGGAAAGGGGCCAAATAACATATAAAGGCAAAGCTATGAGAATTACACCTGACTTCTCAATGGAAACAATGAAAGCCAGAAGGTCCTGGATAGATGTACTGCAAAAACTAAGAGACCATGGATGCAAGCCCAGACTACTATACCCAGCAAAACTTTCATTCACCATAAATGAACAAAACAAGATATTTCATGACAAAACTGGATTTAACCAATACCTAGCCATAAACCCAGTCATACACAAAGTACTAGAAAGAAAACTCCAACCCAAGGAAGTTAGCTCCATCCACATACAACTGATGATTTCACGGCAGCAAATCCCAAAGAAAGGAAACACACACACAATAACATCACTACCAACAAAAAGTAAAATAACAGGAACTGGTCATTAATATCCCTTAATACAAATGGACTCAATCCACCTATAAAAATACACAGGCTAACAAAGTGAATACAAAAACAGGATCCATCCTTCTGCTACATACAAGAAGCACACCTCAACCTCAAAGACAGTCATCGCCTCAGAGTAAAGGGTTAGGAAGAAATTTTCCAATCAAATGGACCTAAGAAACAAGCTGGTATAGCTATCCTAATATCAAAAAAAAAAAGACTTCAAACTAAAATCAATCAAAAGAGACAAAGGAGGGCATTTCATATTTGTCACAGGAAAAGTCCACCAAGAGGAAATCTCAGACTGAACACATGATCATCTTATTATATGCTGAAAAAGCCTTCAACAAAATACATCATCCCTACAAGATAAAAGTCTTGGAGACAGCAGGGATACAAGGAACATACCTAAACATAATAAAAGCAATATACCACAAGCCAACAGCCAACATCAAGCTAAATGGAAAGAAACTCACAGCGATCCCACTAACATAAGTTATAAGAGTTATAAGAAGCCTGAGCTAAGAGGCCAACCAGTTCATAATTAATGTAGACATCTGTTTCTTCGGGGCTAAATGGCTGCAGGACTGGGTGGGACAGAAACTACTGCCAACAAAAATCTTTATCCATCAGAGAAAGGCAAATCAAAACAACTCTGAGGTTCCATCTTGCACCTGGGAGAATAGGCAAGATAAAACACTGATGACAACTTACGCTGGAGAGGTTGTGGGGAAAAGGGAACATTCTTGCATTGCTGGTGGGAATGCAAGCTGGCACAGCCCTTTTGGATATCAGTATGGCGATTTCTCAGAAAATTAGGAAACAACATTCCTCAAGACCCAGCAATACCACTTTGGGGTATATATTCAAAGGATGCTCAATCATTCCACAAGGACATGTGCTCAACTATATTCATAGCAGCATCATTTGTCATAGTCAGAACCTAGAAACAACCTAAATGCCCCTTGACTAAAGAATGGATAGAGATAAAAATGGTATGTTTACACAATGGAGTACTACACAGGGGGAAAA